GGCACATATTTTTGCTACATGCTTTTGCTTTTTGTTTGACGATTGCAAAGCGTTTTATATATAAAATTTATATGTATATAACTATACAAATGTTTGTGGAATGCTATTCATATATTCGTTCCTGCATATATATTTAATATGATATGCATATCGAATTTGTTAGAACATCGTTGACCTATTTTTGACGAAAAAATTAATAATTATTTCGTAGAAAAATAAATGGAAATATCTTATAGTTTACATGTAAAATAATATATCCCTATTTAATTTGGTATAAACGATAAGCCAAACCAAAATAATAAAATAATTATTCTACGTAAATAGATTCTTACACGAAAAGAAAATAATTTTCAGAACAATTTTCAGAAGCTTTTGCGATTATTAATCTCTTTAAAGTTCTCGAATCAATCAACGACATTCAGTTATAATTGTTCATGCATAGGTTTTCTGAATTTTTCTTCTCGTTTTATTCTTTTATCGCTGTTAATCAATCTGAAGTATCGGAGAAGAGCGTGCTATCGATATGTACATATTCAGTTGCCAGAGTCACGTGTCACGAATAAAACGTTATCCTCCAATTGTATCTAGAGCAATAATATGTCAAACTCTTTGTGAATAAATTTTTTTCTATTTTATTTTCGATTTATTTTTTCAGTCAATTTTTTTTTATTTTACCATAATTTCAAAGATATTTTTCTGTATTTTTCTTTTTTATTTTTTTAAATTATACTTTTTAATCAAGAGTCCTCTGCTTTCTTCCATCAATTTTTCAGACTTTGTATGTTTTTTCTTTCTTCTTTCTTCTTTTTTATAGCATTTAATTGTGCTAAAATTATAATTGTGCTTTTTTATCAAGTCATTTTTTTTTTTCATAATTTTGCAGATACCCTGCACTTTGCACTTTTGATAATACTACTTTTTTTCTCTTTCAATTCGTTGCATTTAATTATTTTATGTCATAAAATTAAATAAGTGAGTGCACCTATATTCCACCAATCTTCAAATATAATTTTCTCCTCTAAAAAAAAAAAAACAGGATCGAAAAAATTTTATCCTCTAAAATTTTTCGATTTTCATATTTACATTTTTAAATCAAGAATCATCGACCGTGTACCACAATTTTCTCGATATCCTACGTTTTATATTTTTTTCGACATTACCTTTTTCTCTTTCACATTATACCATAACAATTTTTAATATTCCACGAATCTTAAAATATAATTTCCCCCCCAAAACAAGATACTATATGAAAAAATTTTCCTCTAAAATTTTTCAATTTATGTTATCGACCGTATACCACGATTTCCTAAATATTTTCCACTTTTTCATAACATAACTTTTTTCTCTTTCACATTCGTTCCATTCAATTATTTTACCATAACAATTACCATAACAATTAACTAAATAAGTGCCTATATTTATATATCATCTAATTTTCAAATACAATCTTTCCAAAAAATCCTGTATGAAAAAATTTTATCCCCTAAAATTTTTCAATTTACATTTTTGAATCAAGAGTCTCTAACTTATCGACCGTGCACCACGATTTTCTAGATATCCGCACTTCGCACTTTTTCGATGACATCGTTTTTTTTCCCCCTTCCTTTTCCCCTCCCCTCTTTTCACATTCGTTGCATTTAATTACGGTAAAAATAAGTTAGCGCTACGGTAATTAATTTCGAATTCCCGGGTAAAAGTTTAATCAGAAAGTTTTACTGGGTTCGCACGGAGGGAGTATCACGAAAGTGGCTTTTTAAGACGCCGTAAAGGGCGGAAGCGACGAGTGAACTTAAAGATATGGAGGAGTGGATGCCACCACCTTAATCTTCCCTACGGAAAAGTTTCCCCAGTCGCAAATCTTTCCTTCGCGCTTCCGTGAACCTCTCTTCCCCGCCCCCCTTATACGGCAACGAGCGTGTAAATCAGGGGACATTCGACTTTTTAAACGGATTACGCCATTTTCGCGGAATACGATGAAACGTTGTATTCTCCGTCAACGTTCGAGAAATTGAAAAATCGAAAATGATATCGCCATCTATTTCATCCTCGGAGATTCGGGTATAAGGTGTTATCGATATAGGAATATGAATGGTTGTGAAGAAAATCTATTTTTACTTGCTCGAATTTGGTGGAAATTGTCGCTTGTTGACGGACGATGACTAAGCGCGAGAAAGTTTTATGATACAAGAAGTTACGAAGTTTTTTAATATTGAAAATTTTATTTGTAAACGTTATGCGTTATTTTTTATTTAATTTTATAATATACGTAAGTGTGAGGATTTTTGTTGAAAAAAATAATTTTAATTTTTGACGTAAAAAGTTGTTTTTCATATTGAAATATTCATATTTTGGCATTTGTAGATGTTGCGTTATTTTTGATCTAATTTTTTATATATAATTTCAATTTTGAAACGGATTAAAATAATGGAAAAATAGTTGTCGTGAAAATGATTTATTTTTATTTGATGGAAAATTGTTGCGTGTGATGGATGGGATGAGAATTTTTCATAAGAAAATTTTATGATGTAAGAAATTATTTTTGATATTGAATTTTATTTGTAAATTTGTAAATGTTGTGTTATTTTTCATCTAATTGTAGTTTTAAAGTGTAAAGATTTTTATAAAGAAATTTTGTGGCAGAAGAAATTAATCGTAATTAGAAATTTTATTTGAAATACGGCGAATATTTTCGAATTATTTTGTAATTTTCTATTGTTAAGAAAATTTTTAAAGTTTGCGAATGAATAGTAGCAAGTAGTTAACTGTTCGCAGAGAAACTTGGCTGTCGGCGGCTTAAACAAAATTTTCCTCTTTCCTCCGAATTTTTACTTTTTATTACCAAGTTTCAAACGTTGGACTTAACGAATGATTGTATAATGTAGTAGAGAAATCATTTAAGTAAGTGTCCCTGAACTTTCTCATAATCTTCTGAAAAGTTTAGTTTGCCTAAAAAGATTTAAAATTTTTACTTAAACATTAATTTTTTTTTCTTCATATCGAAACAAGATCGAGTGAGATATAAAAATTCGATTTTAAGTAGTCAAAGATGTCGGTATTTCGAAAAGCGTTTAATTAACGAAGCTTTTCGAGGATCTAATATGGAAAAAAAATTCACTAACTTGTCTGATCATCTTTTACGTCCACATATCACTCACCTTTTTTTTGATTTCCGCTTGCGTTAAGATCACGAAAAGATTTCCATGATATATTTTGAATGTATGCTAATTTCATGTTTCATATTTTCGATGAAATTCAATCGTGATGCATATTTTCAAAGAACTGATGAAAAATTGAAAAACTGAAAAAGTAAATTATCAATCAGAAATTTGGAAACATCCTAATTTAGGTTAGAATTATTAGATAAATCTAATCTACCGATGCAAGTTGATAAAATTAATATTTAATTTTTTATTTAATATAGATAATGTAGAATACAAAATAAATAATGTAGGTAATGTAGAATTAGTAAACAATGTAGATAATGTAGAATTAATAATAAATAGATAATGTAGATAATGTAGAATGATTAAGAATTAAGCAAATATTTAATTTAAAATATGGATTGCCAAAATGTATGCGAGAATTATTATTTACCTGATTCACTGATCCATTAATAATTGACACAAGATTTGATGTTAAAAAAAAAAATAATCCAAATTCTTTCGAGAATGTCAATTTGTTTCTCACAGTTACAGATATGATATTATCTACTCTTACAATTAGTATAGTAGAAAATTAGATTGAAAATAGGATTCCTCTAATTTGTTCTTGAGGGATTCGTTGATACATAAGGGACTTTATCACGCGGACCATTTAATGGAGAGGAAGGTTATCCTTTGGGACAAAGGGACTTCTCGTTAACTCGCTCCTTTAACCGTTTCGCTAAACTCCCGTGACGTCTTGAGCTTAAAATCCCGTTGGGTTGCTTGTCACTCTCTACTTTCGCCTTGTCTCACTGTTCCTTCAATTCATCACACATTCCACTCTGATAATTGAGAAATCCTCCGAATAATCCTTTTTTTCAGAAAGATTTTTGATTCTTGTTCCTTTTTTTTATTTCCTTCATCAATTAATTTTTTATTATATTCGTGTTTATCTTTTCCTTCCGCCATATTCGTTATGAAACTAAAGTTTTTCGAGAGTTATATATTAACCTATATATGTCGCGAAAAACTTGCTAAATCCAAGTTAGATTTTTGTCTGTTTATATATTTGTGATTAATACGATTATTTTAAGTGTGCATGCTGTTGTAATATGGTATAGATGTAGTCTTTCTTTACATACATTATAATTAATATGATTAATCTGTTAATGTATAATTTGAATTCCATTTACATTTCAATTCTCTCTCGCTTTTTCAAATTTTAAATTATTTCAATTTTATTTATTTATTTTTATTTTATTTTATTTTATTATTGTAATTGTTACATTTTTTAAATTATTCTTATTTCTTTTTAAATTTTACTCCTTTGCTTTCAATATTTCCATGTTCTATCCACACTTGTCTTGCTTCTTTCTCCTTCATTAAATTTTTGTAACCATCCATTCTCTCTCAACATTTCACGCTCTTTTCTCTCCACGTTTTTTTGCACACGTAAACATATCCATTCCCGCGCAACACGTGCATGTGACTAAACGTCGCCACCACGAAATCTCCTCGTATTTTCGTGGCAACATTATCTTCTATTCACCTCAGAAAAGAAGGATAGAGATGTCCATTATACCTTCCGCACGTATACATATAATAAACGCAAGCATTCATCTAAGCGCCACCTAGCGCTAAAACACGAAAAGAAAAGAAGAAGAAGCGAAACTAATTTTGACATAGTCAACTTTTCTACCGTAGTTTCCTATTCGAAGTTCAGTTATAATTTAACGTGATACAGAGTGCTAAGAGGATGGATAAAGTCGATGAAAGTGCGAATCGGAGAGCAGTATTTTAAACTGACCTGGATTTTCTGTTTCTCCCGATAGAAGGAATATCTCGTGTGATGCTACTAACCTTCTCTCGACCAATGATCGATATTTAAATGAAATTCTACAAGTAGATCGAAAAGAGGAGCAATATGCAGTTTACAAATAAGTATGTTGATTTCATTTGTGCAACTGTTTAATTTGTTAGAATGTATTTAATATATTTAATAGATAATAATTCAGTTCTAATTATTTATAATTGATTGATCTGATTTATAATGTTCATGTTAGAGATAGTGTGATGTTTATATAATTTTATGTATTTATTAAATAATTTGTTTGCATGTGTTTATTATAATATCTCAGTTTTGATCATTTATAGTTAAATATTGTAATTTTCACATTAGCATGATGTTTATATATTTGGTTATTTGCTTTGCTATATACGTATTTAATAAAATATATAATAATTCGTTATAATAATTCATAATAATTCGTTTTAATCATTACGTTAAATATTATGATTTGTAATTTTTTGATGTTGGAGTTAATAATACATATACAAATAGAAATATTGTAATATATTATGCTATTGATAATTTTTAAATTTTTATTAGAAAATTAATTGTTATATTTTGAGAAAATTCAAAATATCCAAATTTTCACGAATGGTAGAATAATTCATAAAATGCATTCGAACAATTTTAATCGTTCTACAATAGTAGCACAGGCCGACAATCAATCACAGTAAAGGTGAAAATTAGTCGCGCAAAACCAATGGCTGCTGTAAATTCATAAACGTCGCTTTGAACGAGATGAATTTCGGTAACACCGGCAGTTAAAATTGTGAATGTGACAACAGAAAATTTTTATTCAAAAGTAAAAAATATGAATTCGAAAGAAAGATTTTAAAAAAGTAATTTTTTACTATAATGAAAAATTCTTATAGTTTTATATAATGTTTAGTTGTTAAAAGATTATTTTCGAAAACAAGTTTCAAACAAATTTTAAGAATTGTATTGAGTATTTTTTCACAAGTAGACATAGTGAAAATTACTTTTGAATGATTATTCTCAACATAGTTTATTTGTAAAAAAAAAAATATCGAGAGCAATTCTCAAAAATTTTACTTTCAAATATTCGCACTCTTAAGATACAACTGCATTTGAAAGTAAAATTCTTAAAATTTATTTTTGAAGATATTTTTTATAAATGGACAGTAACTTTTACTTTCAACACAATGTCTATTTACAAAAAATATTCTCGATAATTTTACTCTTGAATATATTACATCCATTTTTATAATAGAAATTCTTGAAATTGGTTCCGCGATTGTACCAACATTTGTTACATTCTAATAAATCTATGATAGCCGACGTTGGTACGCCTGACGCGACTCTGCGCGTAATCTTCCTAAAATTTCAGAGACGACATAACCTAAATCAGTCAGTACTGCAATTGCGACAATGCCGATGGCTGTGAATCGCGGAAGGAGGACGACAGACGACCATGCCTGACGACAGGAATATAGAAGAAAAGAACGAAAAGGAAAGGAAACGTGAAAAGGTAACTGAACGAGAGGAAAGGAGAGAAGAGAGATAAAAAAAGAGAGAACACCTCGGGCGAAACATCACGTTCGACCTCACATCGAACCAGAAAATTGTACGATGCGCGAAACAGACTCGAACCAATTTTTTTTTCTTTCTTCCTTCGTTCATCTCTTATTTTTTTCCTATCTCATCCCAAATGTATATTTCTTCTTCCTTTTTTTTTTTATTTTTTACCATAGCAAAACTGCAAGTGCTTCAAAACGAAAATCTATGCAATCACGGTTATCGCTGTTTGTTCACTTCCGTCAAAAGCGAAAAATTGCGATCGAGATCAAAGAGGCACTTTGATTGACAGAATGAATAAGTGCACAGTCATTTCTTTTTTTTTTATCCCCTCTCTTTTTCCGACCAATGGGAAATTTTAATATACCGAAGAGAAAATGATTCGAACAAGTTTGAACAATTTTTAAAATATCGAGCAATAAACGTCTGTACTTTATATATAAAATCTGGATATACGTAGATAAAATTCAAATCGTTGAATAAGCGAATTCTGTAACATAGATATATTTTTATTTTTGTGTAATTTAAATATCAAGAATTGAAAAATTACAAAAGAAATTTCGAAAATCAAATATGAATATTTATTCATTTTTTCTTTCATATATAAAGTCTCTCATGATAAGGCAAAATAGATTGTGATAAAAAATTTTTTTGAAAATACATATGACAAAAAAAAAAATTTAAATATGCTTTTTCCTATTCATATTATGATTACAATTGAAAATAGGAAATAAAGTTACATATAAAATAACGAGTGCTACGTATCGTTACCGCATTGAAGGTAGCAACAATTGTTTTTAATTTTATCGCTCTCCACGTTGACATTATTGATCCGAAGAAAATTGAACACTCGTATAAAGTTTAATTATAGTAACTTCTGATAAAATAAAATGTTATTTGTATGTTTATCGTTGAACACGCAATTACTTTTGTCCACTCTATTCTTCACTCGCACCTGGATATGATACCAATATAATCAAATTTTTGATCATGAAAATTTAACGACCTTCCCATTGTATCAAAATCATAGAATTTATTAGTTTTGCTTAACATTTTTCATTTTGTTTGGTTGAATTGAAAATAATTTCAATCATATTATAAACTAGTACACCATCGATAAACTTAACCTCTTTTTAATATCATAAAGATAAAAATTTGACTTACTATATTTTCTCTTATGATTTTCATTTAATTAATGTGTCTAAAAAAATTTTTTTTTTTTATTTTGCGATTGTTGAAAATAATTTTAGTTATATTCTAAAATAGTATAGCATCAATAAACTTAACCTCTTTTTAATACTCAAACTCAAAAGATCAGAACCATATTTTTCCATCATATTTCTTCTTACGATTCTCATTCATAATTAATATTTTCCAAATAAATTTAAAAAAAAATTCTGCGAGTTTGGAAAAATTTTATATTATTTCACGTTTTTTTCAGCTATTACATTAAGGTGATTGCATTTACCTAGAATGCATACCTCTTACTTCACTGCGCAGCACTCTGGTATACTGGATATTAAACTTAATTTATTTTGCCAATGTTTAATATCAAGGAGGATCGTACAATTCACACAATTCGATTTATCTTCATTTACTCGAAGTATTTCCATTTGTTAAATCGAACAGAAATATTATTCTCAACTATAATTAATTAAAAAGTTCAAACTGATGTTCAAATTTTAAGATATTATTTAAATTTTTCAATCGTTATCAATAATATAACTAAATAAATTTTCAACTTTTGAAAAATTACATAAATATTTTTTTATAAATATATATATAATTTTCATACATTTCAGTTATTCTCATCATATAGTTTATGTAATGTGTATATTCCGTTTCCATGGATGGTCAAGTATTCGATCAACAGAATTTAAATAGATGAGTATAATGTCTGATGTTATAGTATGCATCGGTTACTTTCGCAATTAATCAAAAGTTTCTCGTAATAGTGAATGAACCTGCTAAATTAAGGATAAATTAGCGTATAACGTGACCTCGTACCTGGTTATCAATCTCTTATTAACCTCATTGAAGTTCGAAAAACTATATAACATCGTATTAACTATACTTATCGTAACATATTATCGAGAGAACATTCCACATTATATCGAATTCCTGTAATATATTGTAGATTTTATTGCTTCTTCAAACTGGGAGATTAATCTGTAAGTATATCTGAAAATAAAGAATTTTTTTTTACTGTAGATATTATAATGATTAATTTCATAGAGATTAATTACTTGATTTCTGGAAAGTTAACCTCTTCAGAGACACTGTAAGATATTAAAGGCACAAGTTACAGTACTTGTTATGAAAGTAATCGTCAAATTTAAAAAAAATATTATCAGTGTTTCCAAGTTTTTTATTATTATTATTAAAATATTGTGCATTAAAAAGTTTTTCGACAGATATTAATTCAAAGAAAAATTAAATTTATACATATGTGTTATCATTGTCTCTGAAGAGGTTAAATACTAATTATATAGGATAATTCATTCAAATTGATTCATTTGAATATCTTGTGATAATGATGCTCTCATATACTCTCATACTGTTAGTATTATTGTATAATATTTTAATTATATTATATTAAAAGACTGTGGTAATACTAAAAATATTTTAAACAAAAATTATGATTATATGATATAAATAAGTTTTTTTTATATGGATACATAGAGAATATGTAAAGATCACTTGTTAAATATAATTATGCAATTTAATATATTGGTTAATACATGTCTATATTTTCTATAAGAAAGTATTTATATCCATTTATATTATTAAAATCATTAATTTAGAATTTAGACTTTACGAGTAGCTAAAATTCATAAATTCTTATAAAACATAAAATAATAGATAAATATTAAATAGTTTCAGTATTTGGTATATTAAATTAAGTTAGATTAGATTAGATAAATAATAAAAATAGTTTGAAATATAATAATAATAAAAGTAGCTTTTTTAGGCATTGTGGTAATAAATAAATTTTATTGTTACTTTTTATTTATAATCTACTTATGATTAATAATCTTATCTATCGACATGTTTCTTGAGAATTGACAAAAATTTGTCTTGTATCTTGTAGTTGTAAAAGGAAACAACGCTGTTATATTTTCACAATGCTGGAACGCATCGTGGCTATTTTCTTTAACAACCACGACACGAATCTCGCATCACGGCAATTTTTAATAGGTTAGAATGCATCGTGGCTTTTCGCGACTTTTCAAAAAATGTAACAACATCATTTCTATGACAGCATATCGCGTTTCTGCTCATGATTCTTTCTTTCGATCAAAGCGCATTGAAACGCGTTTTCGATTTTTGAGGTTAATATATGTATGCACGTAGAAATGAGATTATTTCATTTCTTGCAAATCTTCAAAGTTCAAAAAAGAATCGAAATTTTCGGATTACCAAAATTTTTCTTTATTAGATCGACGACGAAAATTCCAAAATCTTTTCAAAATTGGATAGTTTGATTTTTCCAACTCATTTAAATTTTAATAAATATTCAAAAAAAAAAAAAATAATTTTCTTTTTTTACTTTGAGAGAAATTTTTGAATTTAGATAGTTTAATTTTTCCAAGTTATTTAAATTTTAATAGATGTTTCAAAGAAAATAATCCTTTTTTTTATTTTGAAATAATTGAGCGGTTTAATTTTTTCAAGTTATTTAAATTTTAATAGATATTTCAAAGAAAAAAAATAATTGAGTTTAATTTTTCCAAATTATTTAAATATTAATGGATTTTTAAAGAAAAAAATTTTTTTTTTATTTAAAAAAAATTTATTTTTGAATGATAAAGTTAAAATTGAAGTTAGTAAATGTAAGAATAGGTTCTTATTTAAGCGAAGTTAAACAAGTGACTGTTCATTGGTACTGCTATAAGTTAATTTATTTAGCAGTATACTTTTTGAAAGTTTATCTTTTAAAATTATAATTTTTTTGTTCCAGTGTTAAATATTTATATCAAACTCATTGATATTTTTGTCAAAGAAAGTTTCGAATTTCAACAGATATAAAATTGCAAATTCAAAATTGAAAACATTTCAAATTAGATTCCATTCATCTATGCCTTGTCTATGCCTATACATCATAATACTTGCATCCATTGCTTTTCCTTACATATGTTCATTTGAAGCGTTATCTTTATTAACTATTTGATCTTTGATATCTAATTAAGCCGTATACAGTTTATATTACGCGTATATACAGCGATGCAGTATACAGTAATGAGAAGTTTCTTCATTAGCAAGTGTTTTAGCTGGATAAGCTATAAATTGACTAGACACTATATGTTGCTCTTGATTTAGAGAATTTACATTGCGATGCAATTCTTTATGAATCAAATATTGCGTGATTGAAAGTATTATAAAATTTTATAGAAATGAATTTGCAGTTATATACTTTACATAATAAATCTTTTATAAAGGACAATTGAAAAGTTGAAATAAATAAAAGAAAATAATGGAAGAACATAGAAATATAATTGATATAATTTCATGAAAAATATTTGTACCAATTGTTCACATTAATAAATAGTTACAATTAAAATGAAGATATTAATAAAAGAATCTAATTACAATATTTATTTTATTATTATTAAATTATAATTACATTGTAAATTTATATATATATAAATTTTTATATATATATTTATATATATATAAATTTATATATATATAAATATATTTGAATATGTG